ATACACACAAATCAAGCTACTGTACCGCAAAACTGCCGCCCTTCCCCACCAGCCTCCATTCAGAGTAAAACATGTCTGCTAACCAAGCAAACTACCGCAAAACTGCTGCCCTTCATCAGAGATGCTAATGCAACCCTGTCACTTTGGCTCGAAAGTGCCGACTGGACAGACCACTAGGACAATTTCTCAAGTCCAATGAATTTATTCCGCCACGCTGCATTGCTGTTAATAAAACGCGGTAATGTGGTGGATTTTACACCTCAAGAGCTAATTGTCCTACACACGAGAGAATCAACACCCCGAAAACACATGTACTAACATACATTAGCTGCGCCATGTTAGCGCCACACGGGGGCTAGCAGCTAACGGCTAACGGCTACGCAAGCTAGTAGACTTCGCAAATTGTTCAAACTAACTAAAATATGGCACAATGACAATTTCTATACAATCTCAAAAGTGACACAGCTTCAAATATCGTTAATTGCACAGTTCAGGTTTTGTTGAATTCAAATTATAATGGTAAAACTAGTGTAAATTATGGAGCACGTAAACTATACGTACCACCTACGTGAACGTCAGCGAGCAAAGAGAAAGAGCTGGCGGTGTCCCACTGCTAAAATGACAATCTTCTAACACACGAGGGCGCTCCAGTAAAACTAACAAAAGGAGCTTCGCATAAACAAGGCTCCGGACCAACTTTTTCACTCGTAGCACTGGTGCCACCAGCAATGTCAGTTAGTCGTACATCTCACATGCTCACTGGCACAACGCCTCAGGAGCTGAACATTTGCGCCGCATTTACCGTTGTTCCCTAAACGCCTCACAGTGCAGGCTGCGGTACCACTACTGCGTTAGCCATGTAATTGGCTAGCTCACGGGCATACCGGCTCAGTATGCTCCCGAGTCAGACCTCTGACTCTCTGCTGAGGAACACACATCAGGCTGACAGACTGACAGAGCCACGGACGAAATAAAAGTTCTACATTCCACTACTGTAGCTCACACAGCAGCTGCATGTGCTGGTTAAAGCGTAAACAAATCAGCTAAGGAACGTTGTTCAATGGCGCCAATGCAACAACTTCAAATTTGAACTCGCACACTCAAAAAAAGGTGGCGCTTTTGCTCGCAGTCTGGAGCCCTGATGAATAAAGGAAACACAAACGGATTCAAGAAAATATTACCTGCCAAAAAATAAAACACACCTCTGGCGTTGATACACCCCCAAAAATGGCAGGATAATGTTCAAAAGCTGGATGCTAACGTTAGCTTCTAACATTGAGATACAGGTTGCGCTAAACCTACGTCTACACTTTAACACTCGAAAGATGCAATGATACTTAGCAGTTTTACCTTGCAGACAAGAAATAATACAAAAAATAAACTTACCTGATATTTTGCATCATATGAAATAACAAAGTTCCTACTGTTGCTCTTCTGCTGAGTGGCGCTCTTCCCATGTGCGAAAAATAGTAATGGCGTCAGAAACGAAACTTAAGGATCCTGAGTGGGTGTGGTTATGCATTTTACTCCAGGAGAATTTACTCTGAAAATTTACTCCCACTCTAGCGTCCAAAGGTAGTGATTTCACTCCTAAATGATTAGAAAAAATTCTCGTGACGCACAAAAAGTCCATTAGCACGTTTCTGTAAACCCAACAGGAAATCCGCCATGTTGGAAAAACCGCGACCATGCCAGGCCATTTTTGCTCAAAAATGGCAATTTTTGACCATTTTCAAAATCGAACTCCTCCGAGGGGGTTCGTCATACACACCTAGCATTTGGTGAGCACAAACTACATGACATGGTGACTCAAACTTCTTCAAATGCTCCGCTGAGGCCCGGTTTGGAAATGGCGGCCCGTCCAATTTCGATCAATGGCCATTTTGTCCATTTTCACAGTGTTTTTTGCATTCAACTGACTGTTGTCGGAAGGTCTTATTATTGTCCTTTAAAGCCAAGAATTATGGATTAAGTCAATAATTGGGATTTTGCCATCAGGTCAACAGCTTAAAAACTTCCAGTGCACAATTGACTAAATTTAGTCAGAAAAGAAGGCAATTTGCTTCAAGTGTTTCTATTTTTGTTCAGCCTATATTACAAATAATCCATTTAAATGACAGCTACACACTTGCCCCCAGTAAAGATGGCGTTCCTCTCATCCCCATGGTGTTTCTGCTGCCACCTAGTGACCCGGATGAAGCATTGCGCTGCATTAAAAACTGGGCCAAGTGCGTAACTTCCTGCCCTTTTCCTGTTTATTTACCATAACAGCGGTACATGTAGTTACTGCAGCTGCCTTACACTGAATGAAACACTTCAGAGACTCGGCCTGCGTTTCTTAAGGTAAGAATAAAACCCATTTATTTACGTTGTGACCACGAATGAAAGTCGGTAAACTGCAGTCCATTCATTAGCAAAGCTCGCGACGACTAGTCAGGCAGCTAGCTTTAAAACATCACCCGGTCGGATGTTTATAGCTTTAAATAGACGTATTAGCTAACAAAAGAAGATTAGTTGACTTGAAAACGGTAGTTACGGCTAGCAGCATCCAATAAAACCGCATAACACAAAGCAGCGCCCAAACACTGACAGCTGTTGTTTATTGTACCTCGACATTTAAATAACAATGCTAACACTTAGCTAGCTCAGTAGTTTCTCTGCCGTGGTGTCTGATGTCAGCTGGTCAAAGGTTCTCCGGAGCAAACTCTTGCTCTCGATAACATCCACCAGCCACCTCTCGGCGAACCTGCTCCTCCCCGCCGTGTGAACCAGCCTGTTGGACTCCACCGTGAAGTAAACCTCCACCGGCAGACTTTGGGGCTTGACTTTCGATACGAGCACCGCGAAGTAGACGCTGGCTGTTCCCCGAACCGGCCTGCGGGGCGTCGGGGTGCTGAAGCGGGCCCGGTAGTGGTGGAAGCTGTGGTACTGCTCCTCGGTGCAGTGGAGGAAGTCCAGACTGTGCAGCCAGCAGGACTGCATCTCCCACGTTTTGATATACGACTCAATCTGCTGTTTCCCCACCTCCACTGTGAAATGCTCGCTGGCCGCCCATTGAACATCCTCAGTCTGAGCCCCAGCAGGCTGCTCGCTTTTGTGGCGTTTCATCTCCAGCAAAGTTTTTACAAGCTGAGCTGACTCTGCTGTGTGAGCCAGATCATGTGAATATCGATCCATCTTTCCCCTTCAGCACCGATTCAGGAGCTGCAGGGTGTAGCTCGTTATTTAGTCAAACCTGTTTGTCAGCATCTGTTTTTGTTGGTTGGGACAGTTTCTATGGTTACCGTGGGGAGGAGGTCAGATGGAGCCCTCTGTTGGTCCAATTTAGACCTGCAATGTTCACTAATTACACAAAGCATGATGAGAAAATGTTTCTTGAAGGGCTGCACAATGCTAGAGACAAAATTGACACTGTAGTGTTTTGTTAATCTGCAGTGTATTTAGTTTTTCTGCAGTATTTATTGCAAAAAAGAAAAAAACAATACCGGTCCAACTTTGCCTCTTCATGTAAGAATGACTGAAACTTTAAATTCATTCTCTTCCCTTTGGTGTTCCATCCTTGCAGAGCTTGACCCCGTCATTGTGTTGTATCTTTAATTTTTCTGTATTTTACTGTGTTTTCATCTAGATTTGTCTTTTTAGTCATTGTGTTTATGTGTGATGGGTTGCGATTTATGATTGCTCCACTCCCGTTGTTTAAATTAGCTCTTCAAACACGACTGACTTGACAATATTGCATTATGAAACATACTTGAACTGACTCCATTTTGAGACTAATCTGATCAACCTATGACCAACTCGGCTCTCCAACCGCTAATCAAAGTCAACCAAATTCTCAACAAACTTCGTAGCTGTCCAGCTCTAAACCATGAATATAAATTCTGCCAGAGATGCAAAGCAGAGACAAATCCTGACCAAATACGGACTCAGACGACACAAGAAGTCGCAGCTTTGTGGAAAAAAAAAGGGTTACTGTGCAGTAGGTAAGGCAGAGATGAAGATGCATTTCCTCTTAAAATTTGACGAATGCAATGATACAAGATTATCATGGAGTGATTTCAAAAGTTTGACTCATTAATACCAAACTTTATAGAATGAAATGACAGCAAAAATGCAAAAAGAGTTTGTTAGGAGAGGGACACACACCTTACCTAGCTGCAGAGTATATGAATGCATGTCACAAGCTAAACGAATTACTGACAGAGCACTTGTTTTATGAAGTTGCGCTCCTTTCTTCCAAACAAATCACTGTTTCTCTCCTGTTCCTCGCTCACTTTGCGGTGCTCATGTGGAGCCTACATTTGAACAACAACTGCGTCTTGTAAATAAAGTTAAGAAAAACCTCAGTTTAACCAAGAAGCCTTAAATTGGAGCAAATTTTGTTGTTTCAGACAGATTTCTCTTGTAGATTAGTCTTGGAAAATGACAGTTTTCATTTGTATGAAGCAGCAACAAAAGTTGTGGCATGATGTGTTTACGCTTCCTGTGATGTGACTATTGTGCACATCGCAATGTAGATGGTGAAACTGTGTAATATGCAGCCTTAGTGTCTTGTTTAATGTTGTTTATAGTGATTGTCTCTTGAGATAATTGCCATTTTTGTGTGTGTGTTTTTTTTTTCAGGAAAAGGTGGAACAAGCTGCAAAACTTACACCCTGAGTTTCCCTCCAATATGGACCTAAAGCCGCTGTAGCTCATGGCAGACCACCTGCCAGAATGCTACATTATTTGACACAAACATTGAAGCCTCAGCTCTTTGCTTAACACAGTCAGCTGTTTACAGAGAACCAGCGGACGCATGTCGCGGCTTCGGACCACACTCGACAGTGTTACCAAGGCAGTTGGCAGCACAGACCTCATCTCCAAATTCTCCCGTCTAAAACCCGGTAATGCTGCAGTTGACAGCACCCATGCCGAAAAAGTTCTGGCCAAAGCTGAGAGCGTAACCTCAAACAACACAGCTGCCGCCTCACCACCTGAAACCACCATGAAAGAAGAGGGAGAAGGTGAGAAGAGAGCGGAGAAGGAAGAGTCAGACAAGCCACGGCAGCAAGTTACAGAGCAGCCTTTTATCGCGGCAAAGAAGTCCACTTTGGCTTCATCAAGCTCCTCCTCTGCTGTGGCGAAACAAACCATGCAGCTGTTCCACCCAACTGCTCTGTCCACCAACATGGATGAGACCTACAAGACTCTGGCCACCCACATCAATAGTTACTTCGGCACCAATGCATCAGGAGAAGATGGAAAGAACAGGCAACACTCAGAAGGGGATGATCCTGTTTCCGAACATGTTACTCGTCTTGCCTCTCAGAGAGCAGAGGACCACATTCCCGTTTTGTCTCCAGTGTCTGAGGCAAAAAGTATTGAAGCACCCACTACCTCTCCATCAGATAAGCTCAGTCCTCCTGCAGAGGCTACCTCATCTGAAACACCTGCAGCAGAAGGTGCAGCTCAGTCCACCCCTGCACCGACTACCTCCCCAAAAAAAGGCTTCACCCACTACCTGTCCTACCCCCGACCCAGCGTTCAGGCGTTTGTCGGCAGCTACATTGCACCTCTGGTCCCCAAATTTAGAGGCGATTCCAAAAAAATAACAGCTGAAAAAGACAAATCGTCAGCAGTGGCTGTGGATGAGGCTGCTGCGGAGAAGGCAGTGCAGAAGGCAGATAGTGAAGAGGAGAAAGCTGAGAAAGCGAAGCAACAGCTGCTACTTCAAAGAGAAAAGGTGGGACGTTAAAGAAGGCTGTAGTGACTGCTGAATGCTCAGGAGCTTTGTTAATGTGAGAAATAAAATAAATCCAAAGAATGAAAATGATAATGTAACAGCTAGAAAGTAGGATGAAACATTTGTGTTGTCTAAATATGCTGAGTAATTCATAAAGCTTGAAAATTTGTCATTTAACTGAGATGTAGGTGAAAGAAGAAAGATGCAAAACATTTTTTTTTTATTTCTTAGAAAGTTTTAAGAAGGACTAAGTCAAATTATATGCATCACAATACAAAGAAGTTGGCTTTATTATAAACTAAATAATTTGGAATACAGTTAATGTTTTGGGATGCCCATTTTGAGGGATTTTCTATGATCTAATTGTACATTATTTTGTACATTTGTCGACATGCTGTGTATCTGTCTTGCAGATCATAGCCAGTGTGAGTGTAGACAACAGGACCAGAGCCCTGGTGAAAGGCCTGCAGAGGGTCACTGATGTCAAACTCCTCACCACTCGAGTGGAGGAGCTCAGCTATCATCTCCTAGAGTTCCCTGAGACACGAGGTGTGGCCATCAAGGTTAGCGAAATTCATTTTTTCTGAATATGTTCCACAGTCCTCAGATGCTGTCGCAAGAGGGGAAATGTATTAATCACTACATTTGCTTCATAATTGCAACCTTTAGGAGAGCGTGCTGCCCTGCCTGCTACGATTCCGCCAGGCCAGAGACCTTCCTCTTCAGGCTGCAGTGAGAGAAGCCCTGGCTGTGGTTGGCTACACCGAGCCGGTCAAAGGCAGAGGAATTAGGGTCCTGGCCATAGATGGAGGAGGAACAAGGTGCAGTTTTTCAAGAATCTGTCTTTGAGTATCTGCAACATTTTTGTAAAAAAAAAAGAAAAAAAAAGCAGAACTCCACAACCATTTTTAATTGTGCCTAAAGAAAAGGGGTCTGCTAGCAACTTACTTTGAAAGGAAAAGTTTGGTTTCTGTCAAGATGGATTGTATACAATACCTACAAGTCAGTGCTTTACGTATAGTAGATGGAAGTTGGCACAACCCCAAGCAGACAGATGGACCCGGCACAGAAACTAAGCATCGAACTGCTGTGGACTGACGCAGCAGCAAAACATATTTTTGCCACTGAACAAATTCCCTCCTAAAAAAAAAGATTGATATCAATCTAAGTTCATGCTGTAATTAAACTGTTTTATAGATTTACCTTGCAGTCAGACATCCTGGAAGCTGCTCTGTCACTCTCTTCAAAGCCATTAGACTCTCTCGACAAAAACAGTAATTTTACCTTCAAGTTGCTTGTCTGCTGCTGCCTTGAAGTTTGTGTGACTTTACTGTTGTAACATGTTAGTTCAGGTTCAAGAGTCGCGCAGCAGCTCCCACCACCATGTACTGTAGCTAATACACTGACTATGGATTAAACATTGTATTTCTCATATAACCCTGCTAAAAAAAAAAGAACTACTCTTTTCAAACTAATGCATTTCTATTGCACCACAGAAATCCATAAATCTCCACAAATTGAGTGTTTTAACTGTAAAAAGCTGCCTTTTCTTGGTGTAGTTCTGTAAACGTTCTGACTTTGTTCCAGGGGACTGCTGGCCCTGCAGACTCTCCACAAACTGCAGGACCTGACTGGGAAACGAATTCACCAGCTCTTCGACTACATCTGTGGAGTCAGCACAGGTGAACTGCTGTTGCATTTTAGTGTTCGTAATAGGTTTTCCTTTCACTCCCTTATAAGCTTGTTCCTCATTGATTCTATCACTTTAATGTCAAAAGAGTCAACGTCAGCTGTCCTTTGCTCACATGTCGTTCTTTGTCTTAGGGGCCATCTTAGCGTTCATGCTGGGGATTTTTCAGATCCCCCTTGAGGAGTGCGAGGAGATGTACAGGAAGCTCGGCTCGGACGTGTTCAAACAGAATGTGATCGTTGGAACTGTGAAGATGGGCTGGAGCCATGCTTTCTATGACAGCGAAATCTGGGAAAATATCCTCAAGTTAGACTCCTTCAGCTGCCTCTCTTCTATCATTGATTTCTGATGCAGTCTAATGTATTTGTAACCTGATTTGTTTTTTTCCTTAGAGAACGGATGGGTGAGGGTCGTATGATTGAGAGTGCCAGGGACCCACACTGCCCTAAAGTAAGTCATGCGTCTTTTCAACTCTGTATGTTATGATAAATACCTACATTTTTAATCCTGTATGAACATGTTTATATATACAGTCACTAACTTCAGATGAGCCTTTTCATTGTGTGTTTGTCCTTTACCCTCCGCAAAGCAAAGCACCGAGGAAAACCATCAGTATCATGAATGCTCTAAAAATAGACGACTTATCACCAGTTTTGTGTTTGTCCACTAGGTGTCAGCAGTGAGCACCATTGTGAACAGAGGTTTGCCTCTGAAGGCCTATGTGTTCAGGAACTACAGACTCATGCCAGGAGTGAGATCCCACTACCTTGGAGACTGCAAACACAAGATGTGGCAGGCTATCAGGGCCTCGTCTGCCGCCCCGGGCTACTTCCAAGAATTTGTTCTGGGAAAAGACCTCCATCAGGTACAACATGAGGCTGAGACAATATCTTTAGAGGGATGAGGTCGGCTCAGTTTAGTTTGGTTTTCTGTATTTAAATACTAAAGCTTTGAGAAAGGAGGAGAAAAAGGAATGATAAAAGATCACATAATTCACATTAAATACGCAACAACAAATACTAATTCACAGCAAACAAGTTTAATGAATAGCAAATATAAAAAAACACAAAAAAGAAAAGTGAATCTTCATCAGTGTCTGAGACATTTAAAAGAAAAAAAGAACACAGACTGATTTTAATGAGCGACCAGTGGGAACCATAAAAAAAATGCATGTTCAGGGATACACTTTTTATCAATTATGCTTGATCTTGCGTCATGCAATTTGATCCAAGATCAGATAATTTTCTTCAAACCTGTGTTCTCAGTAGTGTAGCAGCATTAACAGCGATGCAGATTGGTTTAGCGATCTAAGAGGTCACATGTCCGAGAGGCGTCGGTTAGTGTGAGCGGGTAATTTTCATGAAATCTTACCGATCAATACGCTTCTGCTCTGACGCTGCATTCCCAAGACGAGGCCAGTGCCAAGGACAGACGCACTGTGTGCTGCACTGCACTGTGTGTGTGTGTGTGTGTGTGTGTGTGTACATCAAGGGTATGTGTGTGGATTTGTTTCACTCCTCCAAACCCACAGCCTTGAAACGGTCCCCTAATTGGCTCATCCTCTCTTCTGGCTGTCAAGTGTGTGATGGAGAGAAAGTGAATAGAATGAGATGGAGGTAGAGAGAGAGAGAGAGAGAGAAAGTCCTTAGACCTGGTCTGTGCCCCTGAACATCAAAGAGTCTGTCCTCTTATGACTTGGCATGCCTTCCTCGAGGGAAATGGAAAGAGTTTCTGAGTCCCCATGAAGGGGAATATTCAGCAGGAGGCCCATCTGTCAGAAAATCACTGGATGTTTGCAGGTGGTTCAAAATGAATCACAACAGATCAGCGTCTCAATCAAATTTTAAAAGCAGCAGCAGTAGCATTAATCATTATATCGAGGTTGGACAATAGTATAACAAAATCGAATAGTGTTCCTGAGGCACAATGTTGTTGAATCCAGTTTTGCATTTGTTTATATTCTGAATACACTGGCAACATCCTAAAATCTCAGAGGAGTATATTTAAAGAAGACAACACTGTTGCTGCTGACTTACATATTTGGATCACTCTCTCTATCCGGTCTTTTCGGCTGATGCTTGACTGCACAGCGTTGTGAGCAAACGTGTTTTTGTATGAGTTTCACATCACATCATTGTCAGACTGATTAACGATGTGGCTCATGAGGTAGCGCATGCTCATACTTTTCTCTGTTGTGTCGCAGAGATACAGAAATAGGAGGAGAGGAAAAATTATTAGGTTCAAGAGACGTTGATAGGGTTTACACGGATGAGCCACTGCATTAAAACCCACTTATAGGTCAAGTGAGCAACATTGATCATCTTGAGAAAATGTAATATTCTGCTGGGAAACCTTGTGTTCTGGCATTATGTATCATCCACCTAAACCAGACTGCAAAAAGCCATGACTGATGGGAGCAGCCTCCCCCAGTAGGACAATGCAACACTGTAAAAACTGCTTAGGAACAGCTCAAGGTGTTGACCAGCCTCTAAACCTTCCCAATTCCAATCTGATCGAGCATCTGTTATATGCGTCCTTATAAAACCGATCCACAGAGACCCCATCCTGCAACCTGCGGGACCCAAAGGGACCAACACCAACAGAGCTGTTTTGGTGGCATGAGGAGGATCTACACAGTATTTAGCAGGCGGTTTTGATGTTGTGGGTGTAAGTAGGAAGTCAGTGAAGAGAAATCAGCTTCCAGTGTTTTGTAATTAAGGGGTTAAAACAATCTAAAGAGCATTAATGTAATTTCCTTTGTACCACTGTGGGCTTTCAAACCATATCGTGTGTGCCTTATGGGAGCTGTCCACACAGAGTTGTATTAATGTGTTATTTTATGAAGTTTGATTATTAGGCCAGATATCTTTAGATGGTCTTTATGGGTAGCAGTTATGCTCAAGGCATAGCTTCGTTTTGATAACCTACTTAAGCAAAATTAGCCTGTCTCCTCCCCTGCCATTTTCTAATGCAACAGCCCTGTGCTGTGTTTTAGTCAATAACTGATCTTAATCTCCAATTCCACTCTGCATATGTACTGACCTAAGCCTTAATCCTTTTAGCAAGTTAGCATTAGAACAAACAGCCTAACAGTTCTTTGTCTGAAAAGCTTTTATACACACTAATTTATCACAGGAGCTAATGTAAGTGCAGCTTCAGGTCCAGAAAAGTTGTGTTTGCTCCCCATGTGTTCACAAGATAGATATGATATGGATATTTTAATATATGATATGCGATGGGGTGTTTTGTTTGCACATTTAAATTTGCACTCACACCTCTGCAGAAAGTTTCCCAAGGACTATGGTAACAGCACTGGATAAGTTTTGTGTGTGTGTGTGTGTGTGTGTGTGTGTGTGTGTTGTTCTCCACATTCCTCTTGCAGCTGTATAGTGTTTTATCAACAGTTTGAGCTACCGTTGCCACCCACTGGTCTCACTCCTACTCTAGTTTTCAGCACTAGCAGTGGTATTTCTCAGGAGAATTCTGCCATTGCAGGGGATCAAAAAGACGCATATGTACCCACACATAAACACTGCAGAGAGTGCTGCATTCACAGACTCAACACCGAGGCAAATCTGAGAGTCGCAGGTAGTTACTGTAAAAGTTGGTTGTTTTATTTCATATCCAATGAGTTTTCTTGGTATAACCACATTCTGCTTATGAAAAATGTATCATCCAGTTAGATGAGGCCTTGGAGTGAGAGGTTGAATGTCGCAGATGAAAAGTACCAGTGTGATCCGGTGTCTCAAGAATGCTAATTGTGTTCCGCTGCATTAATTGCTTTCGTCTTTGACTTAACAACTTTATAACCAAGTTAAAAGTGGTATGTCGCCAGTCTCATAATGGTCCTTGAGCAGCTAAATGAACTGATTAACCGCTCAACCATGGTCAGACACAGGGTGTAATTGGTGTTTTTTTTAAACTAATATAAAAAAGATGTTAAAGATATTGTATCTGCTACATTTCTCCTGTTTTTTTTTTTCCTTTTTGAGGGTATTCCTCAGCTCTCACACTTCTGCATTAGTAGAGACGTGGAAAAGAAGCCTTCACCCTGCTCTCCTGGGCAAGATAGTGTCCATTAATCCCAGTCAGAAGCATTTCAGTGCTTGGAAAAGGTCCAGAACTGGGCTTGAGTAAAGGCTGAGAAAGAGTACGAGCACTGAATCGATCCAGGCGTCCATTGAGACTGATTGGCCTTTTTTTTTTCTCTCTCTCTTTGTTGGCAACTCTTTCATCAATCTGATAACATCATTCAGAGACAAAGGACACTACATGCATATTGAGAAAGCCAACCAGTAATGAATGTTAAAAAGCACTGTATGAAGTCGGCATTAGAATACTTTATTATTTTGGCTGAATTTAGTGCAATGCATCTGTCAGACTCATTATATAAGTTACTTCTGACTCATTTTTAGTTTCAGGGAGCTGCTGAAAACACAGCTTTTTTTCCTACTTGTTTACTTGTGAATAAACAGGGCTGTTTGCCAGCGAAGCACATCTCTGGCCCAAAGCTGTGAGGCCCTGGGACAGCTTGTCCACTTATCCTCATTTGTCCCCAGCAGACTGTCGCAACAAATATATTAAAACTACACATTCAATCCGTGGATGCAAGGTTGTAGAATAATCACATTTTTGTTGTTCACATATTTGATTAAGGGAAGCTAAATGCGTGTTTTTTTATTTCTTCTTCAGGATGGAGGACTTCTAATCAACAACCCCACAGCTTTGGCCATTCACGAGTGCAAGTGTCTGTGGCCAAACACACCTCTGCAGTGCGTGTTGTCTCTGGGCACCGGACGGTACGAGACAGCGGGCAAGAACAGCACAACCTACACAAGCTTAAAAACCAAGCTCTCCCACGTCATCAGCAGCGCCACGGATACCGAGGGTAAGATCGCACAAAAATGTAGAAGTGTTTGGCATCCCACACATACAGTTATTTATAAAATATAGGTTAGAGGCGTGCAGTCGCAGGCAAAACTTGCTATTGAGGAGATGAAAAGGGAAAGTTGCCAGACTTCCTAAAACTCCTCCTCCATCTTGATCCCAGAGGTGCACACCATGCTGGACGCCCTCCTGCCACCGGACACCTACTTCCGCTTCAACCCCTACATGACCGAGGACATCCCGCTGAACGAGAACCGCGTCGAGAGGCTGAACTTCATGAAGGGCGAGGGGGAGCGCTATCTGGAGCGCAACGAGGCCAAGCTGAGGAAGGCGGCCAGCGTGCTGGGTCAGGAGAAGAGCACCATCCAGAGACTGGCCGAGTGGGCCAAACTCAAGGGCGACATGTACGAGGGTCTCCCGTTCGTCTCCAAGCTGTAGTTGTAAGAAAGGCAAGACAAACTAAAGAGTTTTGAAGGTAAGATAACACGCAGTGTAAAAAGACTCAAGAGACTAAATAATAGGTGGAAAAAAATTTCCGAACTGGGAACTAAGCATCTCTGGAGGCGAGAAGTCTGTTTACATGGTTTGGTCATCATCTACCTAACACTAAAAGATGATTATTTATTAATATTCAGACAATATCATCAATAATGGTGTGAAATAACACGTGTTGTAATTTTTGTTGGATGGAAAGTGTCTACGATGGAGACAGAATGATGTACTTTAAAAAGAATTCAGCAGGTTTTTACACTCTGAGGAAATCCTTCACTTGGCTGAAGAAAGAAAGGAAAGGTATGAATTTAAAAGTGTTGGTTTGGAACGCACAAAGACGGGAATGTGAGGCCGGCACATGTCCGTGGCATGATACCTGTACAGAAAAAGATAAATAATGCCAACATGATGGTTTAACTGTGCTATTTTATTTTTAAAAACTGATGTTTTTCAGTAACTTGAATACGTTAGGGTGTAGTTATTAAAGGATTGCACAGTGATAACAAAAAAAAACGTTACTGCCTATTTGTGACACTGTACAGAAGAAACAAACCTCATGCACTTTGTAAAATAGAGCTCTTGGTGGGAAAAGGAACTGTACATAATATTTAAAGTAATTTGAATAATTCTGAGTGCTCTTGCTAGAGTTTAAGAATATGACAAAAGGAAATACTAGATATTCACAAGCAGCCACTCGGAAATGAGTTCTGATACTTAAAATAAAGTATGAGGATGTGATTACTGTAATCCTCATTGCACAGAGCATGTCTGTTCTACTTAGAGTAATGAATGGGGCCCCATTAGTTAATTTAATACTTTTAAACTCGGTCAAGCCTGAATTCCTCGATTCTGCCGATTGTTGTTGTACACTTTCTAAATCGATCACTCTTTTTACATTGTGAGATCCTAATTGCCTTGATTCCTCCATTCTTCATTGCTAGTGAAATAAAAAAACAAACATGTCATGAAATAATAAAACTTGGTTGTTAAAACCAATTTTTTGACCTTTTTGCCTCTTTGAAGGATTCATGGGAAGGTGATAGATGCAACAGGAGCGTACGTCATGTTATGTGTTTGTAGTCATGTTTATCTGCTTTTAGGTTCTGCGACCACATCGCCAATTAACACAAGCAAACACACAAATCTCAAAGAAGCACACAATGGAGCCGTCACTGAGGAATGCCAAGTGTCCTCCTTATGATGAATCACCATTTATCCGATTCGCACTCTGATTTCCTGCTTTGTTGTTTTGATCCCACTGAAATTCCAGAGCATCATTCCTCTCAGTCACCCCGTTGTTACCCCAATCAACGTGAACAATACGCCGCGGAGGGCCGTACCTACGACCCCTCCGCAGCAGTGGCAGACGTCAAAGAATAATATGTCAACTATTTCACTTGACTGATGCCTCGCTCCTGCTTTCAAACTGTCAAAGTCGTAACTACTTTTTTTTTTTTAAGCCCCAGCTTGAGCTTCAGCCAGACGTCGAGGCCTGATTTATGGCTGCGTCGCCTACACTTGGCCTTGCTGTCGAAGGCTCTTTTCTTTGGGTAAACACTGATACTGGAATGACAGATCCTACAAGAGTGTTGACACTGAAAGCTTGGCAGTTGGCCTGAAAAAGAGTTTGTGATGCACGAGAGGCTGTTGGGATGTTGAACTCGTGTATATAGCAGGTTAGATATATGGGATTTGAGCTCTGATCTGAGAAATTCCCTAAAAAGTCATTGTTTTAATCCTCTGAACTCCAAGCTGTCACATTCTTTTACTCTAATATAAAGTCCTGCATCTCTGTGGAAAAAAAAACAGCACAATCATGGCTAAAGGTTTAGAAAACTCAAACATGTATTTTGTGTAAGTTGTAGATATTTTACTTCTTATGGTTTTAATCTGTTTCCATACTTCCATACTGTCTGCTCTGTGTAAGTGCAGCTTGCAGCTCAGCCCAATTCAACCAAAAACTTCCAGAATTTTTGTCATATATTTCTATCGGTCTCAGCTTCATTACTTTTGGCATTTTGGTTTCGCCAAGGAGTGCAGAATTTTTTGTTTTTTACAGAATCCAGTTAGAACAAACAACTAACTCTGAGGGAATGTTTTCATGAGACGTTTCATAAAATAGTTTTGATAAAATATCACAATATTTAAGCTTATTTTTAAAAATATAATTTGGTTATGGTTTCCGACAGAACAGCACATTACAGATAAGTAGTTCAAGGACAGTCGAAAAGAAGGATTTTTTGTACATATAACATGCTTTTCAAACTTGCTGATAGGTTTTGGAGTTTCTGAGGGTTAAGATACCAAAGTTTTAGCCTTTGAGCATTTAGAAATGTAGTGGCCACATTATTAAAACCACTAATTTCAACTTATTTCAACGTTCTATTCGTTAAATTTGCAATTCAACCAAATCACAAAACATACAAATTTGCATACATTTCAGCTGAACTTTGTGCATAGCTCTGGGTTGAAATATATATTTTTCCAGAGATAGAAACCTCAAAGTGAAGGCACATAAAACTAGACATCAGAGTGAGAAGATGTTTTTGTCTTTCCAGTGAACTGACTCTTGAAGCTCCCTCTTGATTAAACCCATAATAAGTCATCTCTTTGTATTAAAGTTACGTATTCTGAATTTTTTCCATGAAAATAATCCCCTTCTGCCTAAAAATGGCTTCGATGTAGCTGTCACTTCCTGTAGAATGTGCAGATCTATGACTCAGCTTTGGTAAATCTACTTGAGAACACACAACAAGCCTTCATTTTATGCCGAAAGAGTTGCGTTCTGTTCCGAAAGCTCTCCTTTTTTTTGAGACTGTTAATCAGGTCAAGCTACATTTTCATCATAACAGCCTTGTTTTGAGTCACATTACTTAAAAATTATTGTTGGAAAAGTCCCGTAAGTTGTCTTTTATTGCCTGACTTTTCACTTTTGATCGAGATCTACAACCCAACCACACACATCTGAGGTTCTAAAAGCTTGAAATGCAAACCTTTAATTGTCTGCTACAGAATATTATTCATGCCTCCTGTCGGGCTGTTTGGAGACTCGGCGTCTTTGACAAGCGCAGTCGAGACAGACAAATGAGGTGAACATGAGATTAACACTCTCTGGCGATGTTCATCCTGTTGGCAACTTCCCTGAGCGTGAGAGGCCAAAGCAGAGCGAGGTCTGCCAGGCAGCGTTTACATGAGGAGGAACATATATATATATATATACATTGTCCGTACCGCTGCACTATTAGTTACTTGTTGTGGCAGTCGCTGTCCGTCTCTCCTCCTCCTCTTCCTCAAGCAGAATTGGATTGTGTGGTCTTATGGTGTTCCCTAGCAACTGTTATAGCTCCCTTCTCATTTACAATCTTCTCAATGTATGTTGTGCCCACGTTGGCCTAAAATTGTCCCTGATCTGGCAGAAACGCGTTACACAATCGGCCTGTTTTTTTATTATTTAAGACTGTTTTTGTCAGTTGAAATTTCAATGCACAAAAAAAAGCGATCACATTTAATGCTGCTCCAAATCTGAATCTATGGACTTTTTTGTCTTCAAGCTCCTTTAGTTGGCTTGTGTGTTTATGAGCCTAACGTCTGCCAGGATGTGCCCTCTTCTTATTCAAACATCAGTGCAGCGTGCGAAAGGATGTTAGTGCAAGTTGTGTCACCTTGTTTTAACGGGACTTTACTTTGTTTTTAATGCTCAGTAAGCTGTACAGTCATGAACAGAAGTTTACATACACTTGTAGAGACAGTCTTGAGTTTTTAGTGACTCCTAGAACTCTGAAGTCATTGAACACGTGTGTCTTTGTCAACAAAAAACTAAAACAATCATGGATTGTGGTTCTTTCAAGATTTATTAAAGGTCTTCTGGAAATATGACAACATTTGCTGGATTAAAAATATACATACACCAGTGCTAATTTTTGGTTTAACAACCTTTTTGGCCATTTTTATTTATTTTTTAAGTCTCAACTAGGCGCTGTTGGTAGCCGTCCACAAGCTTCTGGATGTATCTTTGACTTCTCTTGACAGAATTGGTGCAGTTCAACTAAATTTGTTGAGGCTTTGTGATACAGACTTGTTTCTTCATCATGGTCCACAGGTTCTTGATGGGGTTTAAGTCTGGACTTTAGGGACAACAGTTCTTAAACTGATTTCTTCACCACTTTTTATGTGTTTGACGCGATTATCTTGTTGGAACACACAACTGCATCCAACATTTTCTCATATTTTCCCAGAAGACCAAAATGTCTGATTGTGTTTTGCGATAAAGATGCATGAGTTTTAGTGATTCCATCATTTTAATCACTGGAAACTAAAGACTGCCATCAAATACATGGTCTTTAGGGTGGATGTAAACCTTTGTTCACAACATAAAGTGTGTAACTGATGGGCTGGACCACCATGTGCCTTGATTGATTCACTGATTCTCCAAGTTTTTAAAACTCTACAGGATAGATGGATCATCATTCCTCCAAAAGATATTCCCACATTTGGTGTTGTTATGAAGGGGGAGGAGTCTAACACATCTGTACGAAATCTCCCATAGGAAGCTATTTGAGTTGAGATCTGGTGATTGCAAAGGCCATGTTGGAACATTTAAATCATTTTCATACTCCTTGAACCATTTAGTGAACCCTCATGCCCCGAGGATGGAAGAGGTCATGCCTCAGGATAGAAATATCGAATCAAATGATATATTGTCATCATTTGAAGTGTTCCTTCGATCTAAGTGGACCCAAACCAAACCAGATAAATCCCCCCATAGCATAAAAAAGATCCCTTTGACTGTAGATTTTTTCCTTTAATTTGTCACCCGTCTGTGTATTCACTGTTACACAACAAGCTCTAAACATGTGTTGGTGATGTATGAGTTTACAGCAGCTCCAAGTCTACAAGTGAGCCGACAAACGAGTCCCTCTGGGGTTAGATGCTCACGTGAAGCCCACAAATGAGGAAGAAGGATCAGATTCATGCGTCCCTACACAGCACAGCTGAAGATAAAATCATCCAAACACTGCTTGAGGAGTCACTGCGTCTTCCCTCCTGACGATCCCCGCGTTGTGTCGCCTGGGTCATGTCAGGATAAGTGGTGTGAAGAAGCTCATCAGTGAGAGGAAGGAGCCCGGCTGCTCCGGCTCTCTGACCAAGTTAGGAAAGCTGCTGTGTAAACAATAACAGTGTGGAAGCACGTGTCTGGTGAGCGTCAAAGAGACATTGTCTCGCTATAATATATCCTGAGCTGTATAAACTGGTTTTAAAGTACACAAAGGAGCTCTGGAGTAGATCCCAAGAGGGTAAAACGATACTGAAAAACGACTTTAGCACAAATCCAATCCATTTATACAACGTGATGATGTGCTCGTAGAGTAAAGAGATCTGACACTTTTTTCAGGAGTGATAATGAAAATATGTTGGTATTTCACACTTGACTTCGGTATGTCTGTTATGTTGCGATGTAAAAAAAAAGAAAAACACCCATCTGTCGGCCATCGGGTCTCTTCATTGAGCAGAAACAGTTTACACAGTGGTGTGGCTCTCCACAGATCTCTGCCAGTCGGTTAGCGTGGGGACACACCTGCACACACAAACACATCCTATTTACCCTGCACCAATGTCTGCTTCTGCCCAACGTCTGTAAGCTTCTAGAGCAACAGCCAGCTCTGAAAAGACCATCTCAGTCACTGCTATGAAGAGCAAGTACAGTCGTCCTCACATTTATTCAGACTCTTCCATTAAAGAAAAGGCAAAATTCACAATAGTCACGCAAATAAGTAGAAACTGCAAAAAGTAATAATAAATAAAAATTTGCTCAATTATAATTTAGTGAAATAAGATGTTGCTTTTGAATTGGGGTTGAAAAGAATAATTAAAAAAAAAAAACTATCCCAATCAAATTAGAGCACTTTGCTGATGAACAGTGGACCAAAATCAATGTCAACAGGTGCAGAGTTACAGAAAACACTTGATTGCAGTGATTGACTAAAATATAATAATATTCGTTTAC